TTAAGATTAAATTTTATTAATTTCATTAGGAAATGTGTGGAGTTTTTTACTTTTTACTGGTCAGAAATTGCTACCTTATAATGAACATTTTTGATCATTTCTGTTTGGTGACTTAAAGAGCTTAGAAGTTAATGTTAGCAAGCCTCTTTGGAAGCACGTTTCTGCACATTTGGGCCCAGTTTGAAGACACAGGATCCTTTGTTGTCTTAACACTGATCTATATTTGGAGAGTTGGCATACAGAGGGTCTGTTTTGGATTAGGGTTCAAAATACCTAAAGGATTTCCTTATGAAGTTCTGGGGTCAGATTTGACAGGTGTGTGTCTTCTAATTTTGGAACTAGAAGCAGAGTGAGGCCATTTTATACTCGTTCAGCAGGAACCACAGGAAATTTTAGGACACTATCCAATGGATAAATGACCAGAAATATTATTCTTTGATTACTTCTCATAACAAATCACATTTTAACACAAAACATAAAAACTTAATGACTTCTAATAAAGGGTTCTATTTTTTAGTATTTAATAATTAATGAAAAATATATAGAAAACAGATCTTTATGCCAGGCTTTACTAGAATACTTAGAACTAATGATCATGTCCAGTGTTATCTTTATTATTCTATTAGTAATCAATAAGATTTTTCTGATGGAAAATAAAGGTATTTTAGAATGAAAGATGTAGTTGGTTTAAGTATCTCAGAGAAACTGAAGGACTTTAGAAGATGGTGACAGTATTTCATTTTTTTAAAAAATGAAAGTACATTTAAATAATGAAAATATGGATTGCCTTAAAATGGAAAACATGCTTGAAGCACTACCAATCACTAAGAAATGAAATTATTGTGCATATAAAACTGAGCAAAGCTTTTCATATGACTGATGGAAAAATTAATGCAATGCAATCCTTGCACATTTCAAACACAAAACAAAGACTGATAAATTTTGAAACCTGGAGTCTGCAAATTTAGGTTTTTATTATATCCTTAGGATATTGAGCAATGAAATATTAACATGATGTGTACAGATTCCTAATAAATACATATGGAATGTGAAGTTAGTTCCAGAAGTTCTTATTGAAGGAATATCAAAATGAAAACGAAAACACATGGTTTTCTCTAGGCATTCTAGTAGGCTGGGCGAGGCAGTGCATGCCTTTAATCCCAGCCGGCGGGTGGCAGAGGCAGGCAGGCAGGCAGCTGTCTGTGAGTTCAAGGCCAGCCTGCTCTTCGTGGCAAGTTCCAGGGCAGTTAGAGCTACAGGGAGACCCTGTCTCAAAAATAAAAATAAGGGGCTGGAAAGATGGCTCAGTGGTTAAGAACACTGGTTGTTCTTGCAGAAGACCTGGATTTGAATCCCAGCACCCACAGGGCAGCTAACAACTGTCCGTAACTTCAGTCCTAGGGGATCGGACAGCCTCTTCTGACTTCTGAGGGCACTGCAGGACACGTGTGCACTTACCTACATGCAGGCAATACATGCATACACATAAAATAAAAATAAACAAAATTTAAAGTTTTTTAAAAAAAGTTTAAAATAAAAATTAAGTAAAAATATTTTACTTACAAGAGGAAACATCTTGAGACATTTAACAACTCTAGGATTTTGTTGATCATATAGAATCTATTCATTTTAAGTATTAGTTAAGCTTTACAGTTTAGATATTACTTAAAACTTTCTCTGTAGAGCTACAAGGCAAACCACATTGCTAGTGGCAATGCACTGCAGTTTCTCTTAAAAAGTAGACTGTGACGTCTAATTAATGTGACTACGTTAAAAAAAAAAAAGAAAAAAGCAACAGGTTGACCTGAAACCAGGTTTCTTTCTGAGCTAGGGCCATAGGTAGCTCAGGTGGCAGAAGACTTGCTCAGCATGCCTGAAGCCCTGGGTTGCAGTCCCAGCACTACATAGGCTTACCCCTGTAATGCTAACACTTGGGGAGTAGAGGCAGAAGGATCAGGGGTCCAAGGTCATCCTCTGCAAGGATTGAGTTCAAGGCCAGTCTGAGCTACATAAGACTGCCTCAATTACAAAATCCAACAACAACAAAAAAATCCCAGAGTTGTTAAATAGCTCAAGATGTTTCCTTTATGTAAAAAAAATTTATTAAGACTGGTTCTCCCTGTAGCCCAAGCTGACCTTGAACTCACAGAGATCTGCCTGCCTCTGTGTCCTGATGGGGTTAACCACCACGCTTGGCCTAGTAAAATTATTATTATTATTTTCTGAGACAGGGTCTCTCTCCCTGTAGCCCCAGCTGTCCTGGAACGCACTATGTAGACCAGGCTGGCCTTGAACTCACAGAGATCCATCTGCCTCTGCCTCCCAGAGTGCTGGGATTAAAGGGTGTGCCACCACACCTGGCTTAAATAGGGACAAGTTTTTCAGGTCACAACAAATTTTCTAAAAATAGTACAATTATAGGAATATTTAAACATTAAAAACACAATTTAGATTTTCCAAAGTAAACACATGACTAAGTGCATTGAAAACGCAGAAAACAAGATTTAACAGTTTTCAGCAGCGCGTTGGAGTCTTACCATGATGTAGCCTGCCGTGCTCCCTTTCCCAAAGACTTCGACTACACCTTTAAACCCTTTCTTCTACCGGGGCCTGAGGAATGGGGTCATTTTTCGGATTAACCACGTATTTAGGGGACACCAGATAAATACGGTGTTCCAAAAGCATGTTGGATAGAGTCTAAAACCTAATTGGACTGCTCATTTCCTGTCCTGCGACTTCAGAGGGTAGGAAATTGGGATCCCACAAGGCCTATTACTTAACAAATACATATATATTTTAATATGTATTAACAAATATATAAATATATATTTATAAATATATAAAAATGAATATATATTAACATATATTCCCAGCTGGCCTGGAACTCACAGAGACCCGCTGCCTCTGCCTCCCGAGGGCCGGGATTAAAGGCGTCCGCCACCAGACCCTGCACAAACTAAACATTTTTAACCAGTTAAAAAGAGACTTTCTTCCAGTGCTGCGGTGCGCAGCTGCAGCGACAGGACAGAAATGCCAGAGCACGCGCTGCCCTCGTTTCTTGCAGGAACCAGCGCCACGTGTGACTGATGTCAGCGTGCCCCGCAAGGTGGCATCCCTTCCCAAAGGCTCCATCTTCCGCTCAAGCCGTTAAAGCCACCTTAGCGAAGAGGCCACGGGGCAGGCCCAAAGGGAGGGGTGCAGACAGGTGCGCCCTCCGTTGGGAAACACACAAAGGGCCGGCGTCGCCGCCGCTGTGTCCCTGGCAACTCTACGCACGCATCACGCGCGCAATTTCCCGCGACCCTCCAGAGCGCTCCGGGCGGGACTCCGGCCGAGAGGGCGGGGAGGTGCAGTCAGGTCGCCCCAACTCGGGCGACCTACACTCTCGGGCCTGCTCGGGGACGCGGCCTGGGAAGCGCGAAACCGGCTCGAGAGACGGCGCCGCCAGCTTTGTTGGGATTTGTAGTCCACGAGACTCCGGGGCCCCTACCCCCACACTCCTGGTAGGCCGGCTCAAACGTCGCGGCTCGCCGTAGGCGGACTTCCTGCCGCTGTCCGAACTACAATTCCCGTCATCCTCTGCGCTGCGGGGCCGAAAGCGAAAACAAATTCTGGGCTGCGAGGGTGCTGCCCTCCGCCGGGCGCCCCTTCCCCCTCCCTGTCCCTCACGCGCCCTCCCTCGAGGTGGGGAAGCGAGAAGCCGTGTCTTTCTCTTCGGCTTTCCTCGCCTCTCGGCGTGGGGCGCGCACAGGGGACGCAGGCCTCGCTTCACCTCGGTCGGCCAGGCTCGCGCCGGCGGCGGGGCTTTTCCTCGCGTCTTGCGCGTCCTGACCGGGAAACTTGTAGGGACGGCGGACCCTGGCCGGCTCTCGAGTCCGGCAACGCTGCCTCGGCTGTCCGGCTTTCTTTAGTTCCGTCCCGCCGCTCCGAAGCGCGTGGT